TCTAACAAATCCTATAAATTTGAATTTTCAGATTCTCCCAGCAGCCCCACGGATATTGATACATTTGAAATCTGTTCTCTTCTCTCCATTTTCATCGCGGCTGTTTGATTCACTGCCTGTCTAGAGTACTGCAAGAAGCCTTCAAATGATCCTTGGGCTTCCAGTCTTAACCTTTCCAATTCATTTCCCACATTAGAGCCAGTTCTAGAACCTAAGACTAACCAGGCCGCTCTCCAGCTTAAAATCCCTTGATAATTAGGATGAAGTCCCAACTCATCATCCGATCTCTTGCTTATTATGTCTCCAGTCTCACTTCCTACAACTTCCCACCTCCTCTCACCCTCTCCCCTCAAACCCTAGGCTCCACCTATCTCGAACTACATAACATAACACATTTCATCAGGATATAATTAATGTTTCTGGAGTTTTAATACCTTAAGTCTATAGAGCACAATGACTGAAAAAAAGATCTATTTCACCTCATTATTTTCTAACCCTCTTTTATGTAACTGGAGGTATGACTCATTAGTGGGTTGGGAAATCGATTTTGTGGGCTGTGACCACCTTTCTAAACACCCCAAGTGGGAGACGAAGAAACAATATACAGGGGATCAAGAACCGTTCTGGTGAAGAGGACCTGGGGTGGTGAGAGGGTGGCCAGGGAGAAGGGGTGAATGGGGAGCTGGTACAGATTAGAGGGGACGGTGCAGATGAGGGGCCACAACAAACCAAGATAGAGTGTCCCTGGTCTACCCCAGGCCCTCCCGGAATGTGTCCCTGCGGCTGCGGGGTCTCCGGGAGAAAGACTCCGGGTCCTACCACTGCTCTGCGAACGTGCAAGACAAGCAAGGCACAAGCAGGGGCCACGACAGCAAAACTTTAAGGGGTAAGAAGCACACCCTTCCCAGCACCTCCCCCCAACCCCCACGGGAGGTCAGGCAGGTCTCTCTCCCCAGTGGCTGAGTGTACAGGTTGGAGGAGGGTTAAAGGGAGTGACTGAAGGGTGTGTGTAGAAGTTGGTGTATGTAGGAGGGTGTCTATTGGTCTCTTGGTGTGAGTTTTTAACCTGTCTCCCCTTCCCCAGTTCCTCCAGCTCCTCCATCCTGCCATCTCTTAGGTGCGCCCTTATGGGGACCAATGTGACCCTGAGCTGCAAGACCCCAAGGAGTAAGCCCGCTGCCCTGTACCAGTGGGAGCGGTTACACCCATCTGTTGAGGTTTTCTTTGCGCCAGTTTTAGGTGAGGAACTTCTGGAGACACAGAGGCTGGG